AGCACAGGATGGTTATTTTGGCCCAATTTGAGTTGATGCCGGTTTGTGTTAAAGACCCCTTTGAAATGAATTGATTTCTCATAATCCTCAAGTTGAATAACAATCCAATGCTTGCTAGTGCTGTAATTCCAGATAGACTTCCAAGAGTTATTATGAGAAGTCGTGACCTTTCGGGTCAATTAAGCTAGACGTGGGGAGTAATAGTCACCCCATAATACGAATTCATAAAAATTGTGAAACGTGAACCATTGGATTCCAACTCACTGGCTTAGTTGTATTCTTTAACTATATTAGTCCACTTAACTACAAGAAAAATTTTGAAGGGATGTACTGGTGTCGATTAAAATGATCGAAAATAAGTGATATACAAAGTTAATGTTAAATCATGTGAAAATTGTAACTGGAGGAAGAATAAATAGGTTTGTAACATTTTTTACAAGATTATAGATTACTTTTTTCATCTGAAGCTTGCTTAGAGATTGCTGATGCGTCAGTTTTACTATTAGTTTATTGAAATAATATTTATGATCACATTGTATAACTGTCCCATCGTATTGAGCGGGCAGATATATATGTTGGTATTTGTGTGATAACTGGAATGGTAACTTTTCAGTAGTTTGTGAAGCTATTCATTCAAAGTTGTTCAAGTTTTTTGAGGTTATGTTAAGTAAAATTTGGCCCACTTATGAAACCCTTCAGGGATATTGTATAATTGACAGACAAATGTTGTAAATGACTCATTTTTAGATACTTCCTATGTAATATAAGTAAGTATCTATCGTTCTTCTGATGATATGTGTCCATTTGGTCGTAAATAGGGTGATATAGTTGCTATGACGGAATTTTTTTCAATAAGGTTATTTTCATGTTAATACTGTTGTAGATGTATCCTACATCGACTGACCATTTCGAATGCTTTCTGTCAGAGGTCAGATTAGTGAAAATTATCGAATTAAGTACAGCGAAACCACATAATGTGACCTTGTACAGAAAAAAGTGTAGATAAAGATGTAAGAAAATTAGTGGAGGTCATATATGTGTCTTATGATTAATATGTAAGCAATATTACAAACATCAATAAACAGTAACTGATACCCGTTGCACAAGAGGTAACTGTAGTGCCCCCTTTGGCCGCAAATACCTCACAGCTGAAATGAAACAGTAGTAATAATAACATGACATGCTCTAAATATGTAGAACAAATGAAGATTCGAAATCCAGAATTAACAATGAGATAATGAGTCAAGGAATCGCAAGATTGATAATCACAAACCTTAGTCAAAATCAATGTTACTTTATATCTGATAGGAGAGAAAATTCTGGAGCTGTAAAAAGGTAGCGACAGCAAACAGACAAGAGTGTGAAACAAGGGGGTTGTTAAAGAGCTAGTAGGTTACGTAATTACATGAATAAACTGGTAAAACGTTAATATGACTGTGAAACTTGGGCACTGTGGTGGAATGTAATCCCTTATTATTATTATTATTATTATTTAGCCGTTGGGTTCCCAATGGAACATAGGGCTTCAGTAGCACGTCTCCAATGAGCTCTGTCCTCTGAAATCTTTTGAACCTGGCTACACGACAGCCCACAAGCTCTCATTTCTTCCTCACACCATCTCTTCCATGTCACCCTCAGCTGGGACGCCCAACTCGTCGCTTCTCATCTGGGTTCCACCCAACCAACTGGCCTGACGCGTGATGCCCCCAGTCGGCCTTCTCAGTGCATGCCCAATCCATCTCCACTTCTTCCTGCATATTTGTTGCGTGATAGGTTCTTGGTTGGTTCGTTCCCAGAGTTCCTTGTTGCTTATTCTTTCTGGCCATCTGATCTTCAGTAGCGAGCGTAGGCAGGTGTTGATGAATGTCTGTAGTTTATTGGAAATCCCTTTCGTGACGCGCCAAGTCTCTGAACCATACAGGAGCACTGACTTGACGTTGGTGTTGAAAATCCGTATCTTGTTCCACATGCTGAGTGCAGAAGATCTCCACACTGGTTTCAGGCTAATGAACGCCTGTCTTGCTCTTCCGATTCTGACTTTGACATCCTCGTCCGTCCCGCCTGTAGTTGAAACAGTGCTTCCTAGATAAGTGAAGGAGGTTACTTCCTTTAAGTTTCTCCCGTTGATGCTGACTGGAGTTTGTTGTTGTTGTTGATGGTGGTGGTGCGGTATCTTCATCACTTCTGTCTTCTCTATATTCACTTGAAGTCCCGTCTTCGCTGCCTCTTCTATCAACTTGTTAGTTTTTGCCTGTAGATCTTCAAGTTTATGTGACATTAGGCACAAGTCATCGGCGAAATCCAAGTCTTCTAGGTTCTTTTCCGTCGTCCAGTGTATCCCCCTCTTCTCGCTACCTACTGTTTGCTGCATGATCCAGTC